GTCTTAAAAAATTATTTGGTGATCATGCAAATTAAGCTCCATTTATCTGCTAAATTTGCATAAAAAACACTAAGTTAAAAACTGGGTTTATTAATTTTTCCATTTTCCTCATTTTTCATTTTAATTACATGTAGCTTTAATAGTAGAGTTCAAGTAAATTATATACAAATATTTTTAAAAGAATAGGAAATAAAGATTGAAAATAATTGAAGTATGAAATGGGATTAGCTAGAATATGTTTTATCTTTCAAATTACGTTTTGTTAACATTTTCATCAAGTTAAATATAAATATATATTGATTGTATAAAATAAAAGTTAAAACCCTATTAAACCTAAACCCTTGGGGTTAGTTTATTACAATAGCAAGAAAAAGTTTATGTTTCAAACATATAAGAGCATCTTCTAGAAATGTGAATGAATTCCCAGCATTTTAAAAAAAAAATAACATATAAAAGCAAGCTTCTCCTATTTTTTTTTTAGTATTAAGTTCTTTTGTGTTTGCTAGTTGAGCTAATCCTCTCTTTCTCTCTCTTCAAATCTCTATTGCTAAAAAGGAAGCAGAGAAAACAAACAAATCCCATTTTAGCTTTAGACCATTCATTTGACATAAATGCTAGAGAAGGAAGATTAAAAAATATAATCAAACGTTAAGCCTTTAACAAAGTTTTTATTTTTATTTTTTTATCTTATCAACAACCCAAGAAAGTTGGTTCCAGCCGCTTAATCACTAATCCTCCCATGCCTGAAGTTGGAGAGAGCTTAAACAAACAAATCTTTATACAATGAATTTTTATTTTTATATATATATATATTAGCTGCAGCCAGGAATACAGTGTGAATAAAAGGCTTACGTCTGTGTATATGCAAAGCACAGACAGAGGTTTAGCGATAGGCTGGCTTCTCATCTCATGTATCTCATATTGGTTAGATTCTCCTCTCTAGGTTTTAGTCTTTTCTCCTTTTCTTTGTCCCCTTTTTTTTTTCTATTTCTTTATTAGTCTTTTAAGAGAAAAAAGGAAGAAAAGAATGGATTCTGGGGGCAAAAGTAAAGTTTGCGAAAAGCAGGTGCAGAGGATTATGATCATGGGCAGTAGGGGAATCTGATGCAAAAAAGAAAGAAAAAAAGGGGAGAGAGAATAAATTGGACCACCCTCACTCCCTCAGGCCTCGAAGTCTTTCCTTCTGATTGGCCAGTAGGGAATAATGCTATACGGTCAAAGCAGGTCAAAAAGAACATTGGGTCAGGCAGAAACAAAGGGAGCATGTTAGGGAGATCTCCTGAAATCAATTAGTAGATATTTTTAATGATTTCAATTTATCATTATATTTTTTTTTATTCACAGCCCTAATAGGAGAACATTCTTTTGGATTGATCAGGGCTTTGTATTTGGGACTATGAATTTTAAAATAAAAAAGAAAAAAGAATTCCCTATTTAAGCAACATATTGGAGGGCCCCCTAGTCTTCAATGTGTTTTGCTGTTTCAAGTTCCACTTTTCATCTTTTAGAAAGCAGATTCTATATGCTATTTTATTTATTACATATAAAATTCCTATTTCATGTTGGGTATTTTTGAAAGGAACAAGGAGAGATTTTTTTT